GAGAGTGCTGTTAACCCTTTGTGGATAATATAGAATCAATTATATGTCCTGGTTGTCTAGTTATAGAGAACATTTATTTCATTTGCTGCCCATAGCAACTGTGTATCAGGGACTTTACTCCTCAGCGTTTTTTTAAAAAGGTCTCGGGCTGTCTAATAAATTGTGACCTCAGATACTTGAACATCAATTCACAAATCTGATGTAAATATAAATAAATTAAAATATATATATATATTATTATCATTATTATTTATTTTATATTCTGATGGCAGCCACTGTAAAAAAAAAACACAGAAAGGGCACCTCCCTGAAATGAGACGGGCACCTCCCTAAAATGAGACGGGCACCTCCCTGAAATAAGGTTTTGCAGGTTGGGATGTCTGGGTTTAGCATCACAGTAAGAGAAGCTATAAAGTGTACACAAGAGAGTAAATGTAACATTTTTAGCCAATCAATCATAACAATAGATTTATTATTAAAAAAAACCTATGTACATAAAATATTTGTTTAGCAACCTAAGCTTAAAGTTTTACGAAAGTAACAATTGATTGTTCTGCACAATCTGTTTTCCTCTCTCTGCACAGGATGCATAACTGCAAAACTTTGAAAGATAAACAACTCATCCTAATATTTATTTTATAAATCCATGATATACCACATTCCAAATGACTGTATGCAACTTTACAGGTTTCCTGTAGATCACTATACATGTGGATGCTGTCATGGCAACCGCCATTCCAATCAGACTACTAGTTTATTGCTTTCCATATGATACAGACTCCAATGCACAAATTCCAAAATTAAGTCTACTGCTAGACATCAGAGAGTGATTTAATGTGCAGGTTACTGTATTACTGTATGCAACTTTGCAGCTATCCTGTAGATCACTATACAGGTGGATGCTGTCATGGCAACTGCCATTCCAACCAGACTACTAGTTTATTGCTTTCAATATGATACAGACTCCAATGCACAAATTCCAAAATGAAGTCTACTGCTAGACATCAGAGAGTGATTTATGTGCAGGTTTGATCACCCAAATATGCATGGATAGGGCAGACAAAACAAGCAGACACCCCTGGTGACAGTTTATCTCAGGGAGAAGCAATAGCAATCAGCCACACATATTTAACATCAATTAAGCGGTCAATTGTGCTTCCAAGTAGGAGCAATTTCCAATCCAAAAATAACCAGATGAATCTGGTGACAATCAGGTTACATCTAAGGGCACCTAATTTATTGTAAGCTGGAAATAATAATAATTATTATTATTAATAATATTATTATTGTTCCACAAACCGAACCACAAAACTGTGTTTTATTAAGATATACACTAGGCAAAAAAAACATATCAAATATTTAACCAACTAGATAGTAAAATCATATGCAAGGTATAAATAATAACATATCAAGAACTATTACCTTAATTTCATATGTAGTTCCCGGGGTCAGACTTGTTAAGAGAACCTCTAGACTGTCAGGTGTCGTTGCTACTTGGGTATAAGATGATTGCATCCATGGGCAAACCTCTCTGTAAATGACAGAGTAAGCTACAATCCTGCCATATGTATTCTGTGGTATAGACCAAGACAGCAATATTCCAGCAGAGCCCACTCTTTCTCCAGCTAAATGATCAGGGGGTCCTGGAACTGTAAGTGACAAAAGATACATGTCTGTTATGCCACAGCAACTGAAAATATCCTGTCTACCACAGGAAGTATAACAAACTGGAAAAAACATTTGTATGAATGATAACTGTTAACATTAAAGTTTTCTTCCCAAAACAGTGTTACAAAAGATGATTAAAAACACAAACTTGAGAAACATTCTTTAGCAAGAATGTCAACTATGCAATGTTCTAAAACTATGCAGAATAGCCTCATATCAGTGCCAGTTTGGCTCTAATAGTTACAATGCAGGAAAACATTTAATTGGCACTGGTATGATCTTTGCATATGACAAATAAATAAAAAGTCAAGAAATACAGTATATCAAGTGTGGACATAGTGGTGTAAACAAAAACGTGGGTCTGGTTTTTTTTAGTTTTTTTTTTTTTTTCCAATAATGTACTCTTATTTTCTACTTTTTGGTACTGTTGCAACAAACTGACAGCTGTGGCACAAATGAGCATCATGATGCAAAGAGCAATGGCGTGCAGTAACCCATGGCAACTAGAAAATGTATATTAGCTGACTTTTGATAGATTGCTGTGAGTTAATGCACACTACTTATAAAAACATCCAAAGAGCTATGTTCACAGTAAGTGTTGTAATCAGGAAAACGTAGGCTAATACTAGCAATGCACTATATAATAGTAACTGAGCAAAATCACACATGGACTCATACACACGCACACACCAGCTCAACCATAAATGCATACACGCAATAGGTTGGACTTGATGGACTTATATCTTTTTTCAACCCCAAATACTATGTAACTATGTAACAGTCTTTGCTTAACAATTAGAACGTTTAATGTGTATTTAACATTGTTATTTGTAATAACTCCAATTATGTATATTGTCAATAATGGTAAGCAGTGCTGATCATGTCTCTAAAATATTATTACTATCTTCAGGTTGTTTGACTCTTCTATAGTTTTTTTTTCCGTTTCTTTCATAATCGGGCAAATTAAAGCATTAGGGGTATATCATGTTTAACATATTCATGTACGCATTGAAGAATAGACATAAAAACCTCAAATTCTAGAAAGATCAATTCTCTGATCACGGAAACTTTCTGTACAGAGTTCCAGGAGGTGGCACAATAAATAGAATAGGTCAATACATTTATAATTATTTGTGCAGGAAAATAATTGTACTTCTAAATTTCCGATAACCCTAGAAGATGGTTGCGCACCTCACATTTTGAGTTACAAGTCAATGAACAAAAATAAACTTTTGCCAGGCAGAAAAAGCTTCCTGTTGTACAATTTTCTATCAATATTTCATATTCTGTGGATATTCAGAGGCGTGAAATTTCACTGCTCCCACCCAAACTCCCCAGCGCACAGATAGAATGATAAGCAAACTTACTGGTTTCGTTGGTCATCAATGACTTGCTGTCAGTAGAGCTATAGGCTGAAGATGAAACTGAGGAGATTGTTACGGTGTATGTGGTACCAGGAACAGCACTGGATACATCTGCCTGAAATGCCAAAGAAACATGAATTTAATGAAATATTAAGTGCAGTGAAGCACTACCCAAGGCTCTGAAAACTTCCACTCAGAAACTGCTGGCATCACAGGATCCCAGAGAATTTGCAAGCTGCTGACTTACATTCCCACTGTGATGGATGGATCTAGGTAACAAAAAGCAGCATGGAATATTTCCTTGTTAAAAAAATGTTTATCCAAGAGAGAGCTGAAATGCTTCACTTGGCACTCACAGCCCACTCTCCTATGCTGCCCATCTCTAGATCTTCAACCTGCACTTATAAATAGAAAAGAGAAACAGCAACCATACATAAACTGGAACAGATAATAAAAACAGCATACCTGTATAGCTGTATTTCTCCAGAGAAGCAGCAGAAAAACAACAGGAAAGGTAATCATTATTTTACTCTTCAGAACCTAGAATTGTTCCTATGCCTTTTTGATGGCAACAGGGAAATGTTGCCTGCATTAATGATTTAAAACTAGGTCTGCCTGCACGGTACACAATTAATGAGTCTGTATTACTCAATAGCACTCCCCTTCCTTTGTTAAACTATTCATGAACTCTTTGGTGACTGAACAGAAGTTTCATGGAGGAGTTAAAAAAAAAAAATAAGCAAAAAAAATTTAAACGTAACTAGTTGTGGTTAAAGTAACAATCCCCTCATGTTGAATTTTTTTCTCACTAACTTAACAAATTTCATTTTGTATGCATTCTATGTAAAATAAAGAGAGACAGAGAGGGGGAGAGAGAAGAAGAGAAGCTAGCTTCATGGTTGGTCAGCTTTCCAAAGAATATTCCAATGAGCTCAGAGTATAAACAAAAGTTGCCCATCCACATACTATAATGAAAAACATACCTGATACTCCCCACCTCCAAGATCTCTCACAAAAACAAAGCCAGGCTGAGGAAAGAGATCCACTTGATATCTTTCTACCCGTCCGTATGGTTGCCTCCAATGTACTGAAAAGGAGTGTGTTGAAATATTGAAGACACTAAACCCTATGGGTCTTTCAGGATCTTGACGTTAAACACAAAACAGCAACAAAAAAACAAAAACAAAAACAGATCACTACATAACATTACTATTTTATTTGCATATTACTTACAGGTCAAATTCAAATGTAATATATAAATATGTGCATGTGGATATAAATATATATA